ACTAGTAAACAAACATGGAAAATGTCAATTCATTAATATTCAAAAATGCAAAATAAACTTCCAAGGTACTATTTTTACCTAGCAAATAACTTTTCAACAATCTACTAAGACTGCGGAGCAAAATCACGAGTCTCCTCTATGGCTAAAGTTAGAAGATATCAGCATGACATGTAGAAAGCACCTGGACACTGCATGTGGTAAGAAGAATGGTAAAAATATCTGAACTTCTGGGAAATCGCCCTTAGGAAATAATGCAAAGCATGGAGAAAAGCTACCTGAGGGCAGTGGCACAACCACAGTATTTACAAGTCAGACCCAACAGTAAGTTAGTTATATGACAGAAGCATCTCCTTGAATTACACATTCATGAAAACCATGTGGAGTTTGATGTTAAGTGAAAAAAGACAGATATAAAGCCTCCTAATGCTATTAAGTTATAAAGGCAAAGATTGACAGGAAATATACAAAAATGACAATAAGTGACTGCTCTTTTCTGGTTACCATACTTTTCTGATTCAGATGTAAGAGTTTTGCAGCCTATTGCAGTCAGTCAGGGGGCAGCCTCCAGATCAGAGGTACTGGAACAGAGACACATACCCTGGCCAGGCAGCGTCTGGACAGTTCTGTGAAGAAGTACTGGTTCAGATGGGCTAATTTAAGCTTTAGCTTGAATGAAAAGGTATCTCACATTTGAGAGCCACAAAGAATGCCACTTGGACCTCTAGACTCACACTCTGCCTTTCTCAGCAACAGCACTGACTGCTAGGACACCTGGTTTGAATTCAAGACACACAGTGACCTTAATCTAATCTAGCTCTGGATCCCACCCCAAAGTGATGGTGTCACCACAAGTTCTGCCTACAGGAAGACAGCAGAAACTCAAGTGTGACCATGCTGCCTAAGCAACAAATTAACGACAAACGTGGGGACACTGGGCTGGGCACTACAATATGCGGGGACCTGGGGTTTCTTCTCAGAACTTTAGCACCACAACAGCCAATAACAAGTCACAGATGCCCCATAATTGAACATTAACTTCCTTTCCAAAATGGGGTATGAAGAAATGAACTGTCAGCAGACGGTAAAGTTCCACCCTGGCACCGCTCCTGCTCAAGAAAGCCATAACCAGCTGGTTGGCTGAAGCAAAGGACAGAGACAGGATAATTTCATTTGCCAAAAGCAGGGCTCAGACTGTGATATCCAAGGATGAAGTCATCTTTATTCCTATCATTGCAACACAAGTTCCTTGCAGTGCCGAAAATTTTATTTACTATTGGCATAATGCCACTATCTGGAGATAAACTAATCAAGGCCACCCTACGCCATTGCTAATTCTATCTGCTCTGATTTGATTTATTTGATTAAATTATTTTAGGCACACAATATTAGGGTTATATTTTATTTCCCTTCAGAAAACAAACTATCAGAGAAGATTATTGGTCAATGTCTCTGTAACCTAATATAATAAGGACAACACTAACCAAATGTTAGTGCATAGACCTTTCATTTCCTCACATCTCTGCTGTCCCTGCCTCTACACCAGACAAGAGGAAGAGCCATGTGGGGAAAGCTCCTAGCATCCTGCCTGGTATATAGTGCTTCTCAGAGAAGGCTGGTTCTCTGTCCTCTGAAGCCAGGCAGAATTAGCTCCACCATGAAGATGGAAAGCTGAAGCAGCCATAAAGAAATGAATGATCCATGGTCAAACAATTAAGAGTGACCAGAAACCCAGAAATAAGTACTCCAGGCAAAATGTCATTCCGTTAACTTCAGGAAAAGATAAGCAAACCAAATTCTCCTGAAAACATTACTTCATAAACATTCCCCTAAAATTCTTTAACATTCCTAATAAAAGAGCAGGTTTGTGATAACTGCAGATTTTTATCTACATATCTGAAATTTTGAAAGGCTAAGAAAGATCGCATAGCCAGGAGACCCAGGAACAAACCTAACATCTCCAGTATGCCAGTAGTGTACTGGCAGTACATGAGTACTCTATTTGAAGAATTTCTTTTTTTCCCTCCAGTACTAGGGATCAAACTCAGGACCTTGCGCTTGCAAGGCAGGCACAATGCCACTGAGCTAAGCCCCGGACCAATGAGCACTCTATTTTATAGACAGCATCCTGAGGCACAAGAGAGGAGTGCTCTAAATTCCATAGCTAAGAGGTGGCAAGGTCAGTATTCCAGCACCCAGAGCCTTTACTGTGGTGCTCTGCTGCCTCTCACAGCTAGGCCAGCTGCCTCAATGGGAGGCCACGATCAGCCTCTTTCCTGAAAGGCCACTGTCCTTGAGGAAACAAACAACTGGGACACAGCTGAGCATACCCAGTGTAGAGAAGCTCAGGGAATGACACAGCCTCAGAAACCTGATTTGATGGCTCCAAATGTGAAACACCATTAGTCATATCACTCTACATGGTCCTTAAATTCTGCCCAAACTCTAGTCTTGCTAATGAATGAAGTTAAGAGCCACCTCTAAAAGTCAAAAGGCCTTCTCAGACAGAAGTTTCTTCACTATAGAAAGGGAGAGGGGCGGGAGAAACAACTACAGTGTAGACAACCATGGAAACAGCATGTGGGATTTTCTACTCACTAGGGGTGCTCAGAAAGCAAAGCATTATTTGTCTAGGTGTTCCCAGGGCTTTTACTTCTTTCACATTCTGTTTCACTAATGTGTCTATTTTCAATTCAGCATAATGCCTACTGTGTTAAAATATTCATTAAATTAAAAAAATTTTTTAAAAAGACCTACCAGGCATCTTCAGCATAGACCACAATTCCCTTGTCATATACAAACTCTTGAACTTCCAACAAGCCATCGGTCACTTAAGGAGGTCGTTTGCCCCCAGCCTTTGGATTGACCGACACTTAATTTCTTGAGGGTCAACTACAGTTAAAACAGATGTTTGGCTCATTCAATCTGCCTCATTGCTAATACCCTGGCTGGATGAAATCTGGGGAAGGCCAAAGTGGTTTCCATAAAGGAAACTCCTACTGAAAAGTCAGAGCTCACAGTAGATAGCAGTCACCCAGATGCACTGAGAGTTAACCCCAGACCAAAGAAGCAGCTTCCTCACACAAGTAAATGCCAAGGTTCAGCTGGCCCAAAACTTCCACATCACACAAGGAAGCACCCAATCCTGTTTACCTGCAGTGGCCTGGGAGAATTAACTGAATTAACAGGGAGAATTAACTGAACTAGGTGTTAGGAAAGAGCAGAGTCTTCACTTTGGCTTTGCCCTAACTTCTTGTGTGTCCTTGGGCCCCAATTTTCTCTTCAAAATGTAATTCCTGTGATCACTGTGTTCCAAAACAAAAAAAAAATTTTTTTTTTCTTTTAAGTTCTGTGACTATCTAGGTGTCTTTGAAAGTTGGGCTGAAGAGCCCAGAAGTGAATGAGGAGTTAAGAATAAACACAACAGGAAGTACAATCCAGATCTGCCAATTCATACATTGTAAAGACACACTGAACAGATGAGCCTCCTTCTTCCCAGTCAGGCAAGGGCAGCTACAACATGACTGGCTAGAAGCTGCAAAATAAGGACCCCTCAGTGCACAGGACTGTGTGGTCAATAAGAACAACTCAGCTGGGATGAACAGACTTCTCTGTTCAAGCCCTGACCACAGTAGGCAGGCAACAGAAAGAGTGTGGATACTGAAAGCAGCCTGCATTTCTCTAAAGACTACAAATACCCTAGATTCTGGATAACAACAAGAAAAACTCCCTCATAGAACCTTCTGATAGAACAACATTTTAGTACGACAGCCAAAATAGCTTCCTGAATTCCCAGAAATCGGAAACTATGACTTACAACCCATTCTGGTTAAGGGCAGGTGATATGCTACTCCATCATTCCCAGCAACTCTTTGTCCTCTGTCTCACTCCACCTACTGCCCTGCCTCCTCGCAGGCAATTCTGGTCCTCATGAGACACACCAACACACTACGAAAAGCTGCTTTTTACAAAAATTACTCCCAGTCTGTACACAGAAAACAACAAAAGCTAGCAAGACTTAGTCCCTCTCTAATCCTTATAGAAAGAGAACACACAGAAAATGGATGGAAAACAAGTCTGACCATTTTCAAACTCTCACAAGACTTCTAATCACACAATCTCACAGGTACCATCTGTTGAGGCTGAGAGGGTCCAGGTCAGTGTCCAGTCTTGGTTAGAACTCCAGGAAACTCTGCTGTGGTAGAGACTGTTAGGAATGACTGTTACTAAAACTAAGCAACAGCTACCAAGAGGCCAATATGCTCCTGAATCTAGGCTAAGTGGTTGTATCCGTGGGACCTTATATAATCCCAAGAACTCTATGAAGTGGGGACTTTTATTATGCACTTTGTGCAGATGGGAAAATCAGGGCTCAGAGGTGAAAAAATTTAATAAACAGAACCAAAAGGCAAGTGTCCTAAACAGACAAACTACCCACACCTGCGTGGCCCCATCCCGCTTCCAGCCTCCTCTGTTAAGTGGCCTTCTTGTCAGCTGCTGGTTTCCATTCCCCACACATAACACACACAGTGGAAAACCACTGACTGCTGGAGCAGGTCATCCCGCACAGCCTCAGAGACGTACAACCTGCTCTGAGCAGGAAGGTTGAAGTCCCCCGGAGAAACCGCCACACCCATCAAGGAAAAGTCTCCTAACCCCAGATGAGCAGAAGTGGGCACACAGACCAAACGAAGATGAAGGAAGTCAGCCCATTTTGCTCAGTAGAACAGGAATGAGTCTCTGCTTCAGTGTGCCATGGGTGTAGAGGGTTGTGTACTGTCATTTCTGCTCAGAGGATCTTAAAATACTTTGCACACATTGAATGATCTATCTTCACAAGACACCATAATCACTATCATCTTCTCCATAATATTCAGCAATAAGTAAAGCTATGCAGCCAGAGGCAGACAAGTCAAAGACTTTCCAGGGCTTGACTGCAATAGCCTATAATCCATTTTGGAAATAAAATGATCAGATGGAAAAAACGCACAGCCCTCACTTACCCTTTCTATCTCTTGGAGGTACAAGAGTGCGATGTCCCCTGCTTTCTCATAACAGGTGATGACATCCTGTTCCCGGTCCACATGAAGATTACTGGTAGAAGACGAAATAGGCAGCTTTTCTAAACAAAGTCCTTTAAAAAAAAAAAAAAGCAAACACATAAAAACTGGACAATTTGTTTTTCATGGAGCTTAAGTTTTAAATATTGCTCTAGAGGGCCACAGTGGTCATAGGACATCACAGAATATTAAGGAGGCAGTTTCTCTCCCCTCTGTCCTCTCTCCTTCAGGACAAAAAGAGACATCAAAATGGAGCACCAAAAGGAGTATCTGCAACTTACAGAAGAAAGAGGCCATTAAAAGCACAGACTTATTTGACTTTGAAGTTCAGGTTGAGAATCTGGCCAGGCACTTCACCTTGAGTTCATCCAGACCTAAGAGAGTGTGATAATGAATTTTATGTGTCAGCTTCACTGGGCCACCTGGTACCCAGGCACTTGGGCCATTATTCTGGGTGTGCCGCTGAGGGTGTTTCTGGCTAAGATTAGCACCTGAATTGGTAAACTGCATATGTAGTTCACCCTCCCTAACTGGATCTCATCCAGTCAGTAGAAGAGCCGAATAAAAAGGCTGAGTGAGATGGAACTAGGCCTGCCTCACTGTGTTGAGCTGGGCTGCTGTCTTTTCCTGCCATTGTACTCTGAACTGAAATCCTGGCTCCTCTTAGACCTTGAGCCTGCAGCTTTTGGACTAGAACTTATTCCACTGGGCCTTCTGGTTTTCAGGCCTCTAGACTCAGACTAGAACCACACCATCATCCTTTCTGGATCCCTACTTGCCTAATGCAGGTTTTTTCTCTTACAGGTCCTGTTTCCATGAAGAACCCTGCATAGTATAGAGAGATTCTCACTCAAAAATGCTTCAGATCTTTGAATTTTTAAAAGTAAGTGAGCTGGATTTTAAATGTCCCCCAAAGACCTATGTGTGTTTGTTCCAGCTTTGTCCCCAGAGTAGTTCTACTGGGAGGTCATAGCGCCTTTAAGAGGTGGGGCCTAAAGGGAGGCCAGACACTGGGGGCCTCAAAGGAGTATAGGACCCAGCCCTTTCCTCTTCCCTTTGTTTCTGGGCCAAAAGGTAAGAGATTTTGTTCCTCTCAAGCACTCCAGCCAGGGTTTGGTTTTGTTGTCCAAAAGCAACAGGGCCAGTCGATTATAAACTGCAGCCTCCAAAACCAGGAGCCAAAATAAAACTGTTTATAAGCTGAGTGTCTCAGATATTTTGTTAGAGTAGCATACAGGCTCAGAGAACCATACTACCTAAAGGGAATCTTCTGTTTAATGTTCTCAGGAGTCTTAGTTACTGGCATTTTGACCAGCTCTCAGCCTTAGAATTTAGAGTACTAATAACCCATGGACCACCTCTCAGCTGTGAATTAAGAGAACACCCAGAACTTTCTCTATGAGCATTTCTTCAGAGATGAAGTACATACTCTTTGTCAAGAGAGATTTCAGGCTTGTAATGTAGGAAAGCACCAAAGGCTGAAAAAGTAACAATGTGAAGATGAGCAGCTGCTTGAAGCCAGCACCAACCTCAGGGTCCCTACCCACCAACAGAGGCACAGGAGAGGACTGGGGTCTCTGCCCACCAAGTGCCCTGTGCTCTATGTGTACACGATAACATATTCCACTCCATGTAACAGTATGAGAGGCAGGTTATATCAAAATAGGAGTCTGGAATTAGAAGGGACAAGAGAAATCCCCTGGTCTAAGAAACAGACCTGGCATGGTAAAGTGACTTGCCCAAAATCTGACAGTCAGAGAAGGGACCAACGGGGCTAAAGCCAGGTCTTCAGCCCCCAACCTGCACTCATGTAAGCCACTGATTTTCTCAGGAAAACAACACTCGAGAAGGCCCAGGCACACTAACATCAGGAAGTAACCATAGCCTCCTGTGCACCTTCCGGATATGGCTTCAGCCCAGCTGCTCCTGGCAACAGCAAAAACCCCTGCAGGCTGCAGGAAGCCACAGGAGATAGCTCTACTTTTAACAAAAGTCCACAATTTATGTTAAAGTTTACTCTTTGGGCTGCATATGCTGAAGGTTTTGATAAATATATACCATTGTGTATTCATTACTAATCTATCAAACAATAGATTTGCTGCCCCAAAGAGTCCTGTGCTCCACTCAATCACCCCTTCCCCTGGCAGCCACTAATCTTTCTCTATAGTTTTGCTTTTTCCAGAATATTCTCTAGAGACACAATACATAGACTTTTCAGACTGGCTTCTCTCACTTAGCAAGTTTCACCTAAGATCCTTCTGTGTCTTTTCTTGGCTTGATATACCATTTATTTTGGTTGCTAAACAATAAATATTCCACTTACCCATTCATCTATTGAAAAGTATCTTGATTCTTCAAAGTTTTGGCAATTATGAATAAAGCTGTTATAAAGACTCGTGTGAGGTTTTATGAATATTTTTCTTTTCTTTTTTTGTGTGTGTTTTTTGTTTTGTTTTGTTTTTGGTACCAGGGATCGAACTCAGGACCTATGGCTTGCAAAGCAGGTGGAAGAACCACTGAGCTAAATCCCCAACTGGGTTTTATGAGTTTTCAACTCATAATTTTTTTTACTATTTTAAGACAAATTCTCACTAAGTTGCCCAGGCTGGCCTGAAACTTGGCCTTCCAAAGCTGCTGGGATTATGAACATGAGCCACCATGCCTGGTTATCTTTTAAAGACATTTGAAATCCAGGGAAAAATTCTTACATTTTCACCAATATATTATGATCTCCTGTGCTCTTTCTTCCCTTCTATTGATTCGTATTTCCTGCTGGTATCTTTTTTTCTTTCAGTAATTCCTTTGCCACTTCTTGCAGTGTAGATATGCTACTGCCTGTTTCTTTCAGTTACTAGATGTCTAAAAAACGTATTTGGTCTTCATTTTAGAGATTTTCGCTGAGTTGGCGGGAGGCTTGTTTCCCCCTCATTCTACAGGTGCTTTATGATTTCCAACAATAAACTTGCTGTCACCTTAAGTTTGTTCCATTGTATGCCATCTTTTCCTCTAACTCTCTTTAAGATTTTCTCCTTAGGATTGGTTACTATTAATTTACATTATGCAGTACCTGGGCTTCACTGAGTGTCCTGAAACTGAAGGTCTTTAGTTGTTATAAAAAGTTTTAAATGTTCATGCTTCATTTCTACAAATATGTCTATATCACCATCTTGCTCCTAAGGAAACTCCAATATACACATATTAGGCCACCTAAAGTGGTCATACTTGTGTTTGTACCATTTTTTTCTTAATCCATTTTTTCTCTTTCATTCTGGATAATCTCTTTGACTATCTCTTTAAATCTTTTCTCCTGCAATGTCATTCATTACATCCAATGTATTTTTTTATCTCCAAAATTATAATTTTCTTCTGTAGAAATTTGATTTGGGTCTATTTTTATCTTTCATTTCCCTACTGAACTTTTTAGACATAAGGGATATAGTGATAATAACTGCTTTAGTGTCCCTCAAATCCTAAGTGTTCAAAATCCACTCTCTTCTTATTTATACCCGAAGTTGTTAAAGTAGCTACAAAAAAAAAAAAATCACTAAGTAGCATCTCCCAGGGTGAGCTCTGTTATAAACTCTTGACATTTTCGTTCGTGGAGAACATGAGACAAACTGAACAAGCTCACCATTTAGCATTATAGTTCCAGAACTACTTAAAAAACCAGCACTTGATTGGAGCTTCCTAAATGTGCTTTTAAGTATTGTTAAGTACTTGTACAAAATTAAAATCACCAGAAAAAAAACAGAGAGAAAATTAGTTTCATAATCTGCCCTCTGCTTAGATGAGAGGCAACCAAACAATGTGCAAGATGGTATCAGGGATTTAATCAGAGGAAAACTAATGCCACAGAGCATGTCAAAAGGTCAGGCAAAACTGGATCTGATCTTTACCACTGCAGATGGCTCTGACCACGAACACTCATAAAGATGACCAAGATCCTCAGAAACCTGCCAAGGCCACTGAATCAAAGAAAGGCCAAACCAATTCAACACAATTTGACTATTATCTGTATTTTACTTGATTCTGAAATATTTGGAAACTACTCATCTAGGGCTGCAGTCCATGGTCATGCCTGGTTGGTAAGATATACAACCACCATCACAATCGAACACAGAGCAGGGTTCTCTGGCAGATTTGCAAACCTGTAAATTCAGGGGTGGCAATGTGTTTCCAGCAATGAGTCCATTCTTGGGCAGGAGGCCTTGTCTGGTGTTTAATTAACTACTGTTCTTTTCCTTCTCCCAAATGCTATGGCATTCATTCCATGTGCCACTGGGCACATATTGGAGCAATGGATGAGTCCTGATGTACCACAGTGAATTGGTGCCTGTACAGCTGAGTCCTAGAATGTTTAGTTCTCTGTCAAAAGCTACTTATGGCCCCCTGAAATGGTCTATAAATTTTTAAGTGTCTGGGATCACATCCACACTGTCTGAGAAGCAGAGTCCCGAAGTCACAGCCCAAAGTGGCTCCCATGAAAATCTCAGCTGACGCTTTGTGAGTTTAGAAAGCTATCTCCCTAATGTTTTTAGTTACTTTCTTTTTTCCAGAGAAATACATGATACACGCTGCCAAATAAAAGTGAGAAACAGACTTGATAAATAGCTGATGTCTCAACAATGCCCCAATAAGATATCAATAAATTTTATATTTCTCTGGGTATGGTACTGCGTCCCTGTAATCCTAGCACTTTGGGAGGCTGAGTCAGGATTACAACTTTGAGCCTAGCCTGAGCAACTTAACCAGTTACCTCTTAAGACCCTGTCTTAAAATTAAAATTAAAGGGGAAAGGAAGGTGGGAGGCCAGGCATCGGGTTCAGTGTGAAGGCCTTGGGTTCAGTCTCCAGTACTGAAAAAACAAACAAACAAACAAAACTTCATCTCTAAGATCAAAACTGTATACAAAAAGGTGGAAATTAAGTGTGTCTATACTCTAACAAAATGTCATATGTTGTTACTATAACAAAATACTCAGGACTTGGTACTTTATAAATAAGAGGTTTATTTAGTTGTTGGTCCAATACCATGGCACTGGATCTGTTTATCTCTGGTAAGGGACTCTGGCTAC